TTGAAAGCATTTATTATAGTTGTCGCAGTCTCCGGAGTCAAATCCTCCTGAAAAAGAGAAACACAGAGATAGAAGCACAGCATCATTTTCACTTAAAATTTTTTGAATGATAAATATCAAATAAAATTAAATAATAACAAGTACACATACATAATAATCATCGTTTACTTGAAACATCGGGGCATTGGCGCAAGCGCCAAGACATTCCACTTCAGAGACGGTGAACAACTTATCTGCAGAGGTGCCACCAAGCTCGCAATTTGTAGCCTTCGTCACGGCGTTAACTATCGAGTCAGAGTCTCTCAGCCAGCATGGAGTGCAAGTGCAGATCTGTACGTGATATTTCCCCATGGGCTTACGATTGAACATCGTGTAGAATGTGGCTACTTCATACACTCTCATACGCGGCACATCCAATATCTCAGCGACTTTATGCATAGCAGAGATGGGCAGCCAGCCGTGTTGTCGTTGCGCCAGATCCAACAGAGGTATCATGGCACCGCGCTTGTGGCCTTCAGGATAGATTGCAAGAAGTGCGTCGATCCGCCTCTTATTTGCTTCATTGAACTCGAACGGTATATTCGGATTATCTTGCTCACTGTCCCTATGCTAAAATTTAAATATTATATAATATTCTGATTGAAATTGATTATCATTGTTATGTATTAAAATGTTCCTAAATAGATACAAAAAATGTTAGAAGATGAGTCTTTGTAAAAAATTAAGAATTTTTTATACATTCTTATCTTTTTTTGATAAGTTACATCCCTTCAAAGGGAGAAATAAAAATTAAGTTTTTATTTTTTGTAAATATTGAGAAGTATTCTTTTTACTAGTGGAAAATGTTCGCAAAACTTCATTTTTTAAATTTATCCAAAATTAAAAAAAAATAACTTCATTTTTACCTCTCCCTTTGAAATATAATTCCTCAGGAAGGATGTAAAAGTATGTGTTTATATGAAAATCTTAATTTTCAATAAGAATTATCTTCTAACATTTTCTTATTTTCTATATAATTGTACTTACAACAAACAGCTGGTCTGATGTGCGATTTGCTGTTGTTTGCACTCCTCTAATGTTTCTTGGAGCCTGTTGAAGACAGAATTAATGTTAATATTATATGAATCAAGTAATAGATAGCAGTAGATCAAATGACAGATTATCGAACTTTGCAAGATAAAAAAATCATGTTTTTGAACGTGCTAATGCTTTTATCTTTTATGCTTTTGAATTCATTTTAGCCCTCATAAATTTATATAAAATTAACAGAAGCAAAAGGCTGAGAATACAAGATAAATAAATAAGATATACATATTTTAAATCATTTTAGTAAAAAAAAAGACAAATAATTAATTTACATTCAAGAACAGTGTTTTACAAAATCGATATAATTAAAAATTGAAGATTATATAAGGTATTTGAGGTTAGATGTTAATGTGGAGAAGTAAATGCAGTAAATGCAACAATGAATTCTTAGGAAATAATTACTTACGAAGAGCCCGCAAGCTCGACGTAGAGACGCCAGCATGTCGATGCAGTTGAATGATAGATGACGATAAAATTCTTGTTACACTTCGTCAAACAAATATCAATTAACATCAAACACTATCAAAGTATTGAATCACAAGTCTTCCACACTTCCGTCAAGGGCCATTAAGGGCCATCTATATTATCGATAAATTCGGTAATAGTAGTGACACCTTTCATTCATTTCTTATACTTATAACTGTTCCTGTGTCAGTGTATATACCGATGATGAAAATATTATGCAATTCGTTTGAAAAAAATTATAACAAGTTCACAATATAATTTTTATTCAAGTTATATAATATTAAAATAAAAATCTTTATAATTTTATTCGTCTATAATCATATTTTATTATTTCCTTCTATAATCTGGGTTTTTTGTCCCCAGCCCAAATACTTTTAATGTCCTATTTTACTGTTCTACAAAAAATGTGAAAAAATTCAGTGCTACTTTTTTATCAACATATCTCTATTACCAAATAATTTTCTAACTCAAATGTGTGTTAAAATTTTGATTTAAAAAAAGTCGAGCATTCCCCTGTCATTCGACTGTAACAAAGGAATATTCGACTGTAGTTCTTTCATTCTGATCTAGATTAAACTCTCGGTGGAAACTAGACCAGTAAGAGAATGGCAAATTCCATCATGTGAATGCTCACGTTCAATCAGGACGGAGGTCACGTTACCAGTTTTCTTCAATCTCATGCCTTTGATGTCCATGCCCAATCAGAAGAGATGAGTCACATGATACAATTTGCCACTATCTCCTTGTTGAAGCTCTCTCTAGCTGACATGCTCTAAAATGCTTCTATATTACTATAGCATTTACTCACTCTAATACGCTCGTTGAAGTGAGTAGAAGCTAACAAGAACACTTTAGGTTTATTCGCGTTGCATGCTTTAACATATTCTTACTTTCTCCAACCGTAACTCCTACTCACTCAAACGCGCTTGTTAGGCTACTTTTTCATGCTGACGCTCGATGCTCATTGAGTGCATTCAGAACGTCAACCGCTCACTGAGTGCTCAAGTTTTTTTATGAATGGTATATTTTATTAGATCCTAAAATAGACCAATCAAATGAAAGAACTCACTGAACGCTTGTGGTGAGCGGTTGTCGTTTTGAATGTACCCATGTTTAGCGTCAAAGCAGGACACTTGATCAAAACGACGAAAATTAAGGATACTCGAGTCTTATTTCAAAACCGTTTTAAGTAACATCTTAAAACGCTAATGTAGCCTTCTGATTGGTTCGTGATTTTTTAAGACCGTACTTAAGATCTTGAATATAAGATCTGACTATGAACCTGGCCCAAGCATTAATTTTGATCACGTGACCTATTTTGAAAATGATCGTCGAGCGTTAGTATGAAAAAGCAGCCTAATGGCTCGGCATATCAGCGCGATATTCGTTGTGCGTGACACGCGATATCCAATGAGAGTATACCTTTAGAATGAGAACATCGATAAAATTGTACACTCATTGGATATCGCGTGTCGCATGTGACGAACATCGCGCTGGGATGTTGAAAGCATTAAAGAGAGAAGAAGCTATGGTAGGAGATGTTGAGTATGCGACACAAATAAACTTCTTATATGCCTAAGATCAGATCTATCCCCACTCTTATTATTATACTCTATCATTGGCCTAATTTCCATCGAGGATTTAATCCGGATTAAAACGTAAGAACCAACCAACTACAGTCCAGCATTTTCCTGTCGTTCAATTGTAACAAGGGAATACTCGATTATAGTTGGTTTTTACCTTCTGATCCGGATTAAACTCTTGGTGGAAACTAAATTATTCACACGTTGCAAATTGTTGCAATAAGGGACTCCGCACAATAAAAGGAATAGGGAATACAGAACAGATGCTCGTATTCATAGTCAGACTTTATATTTGAGACTTCCTTAAATTTATCTTCAGATACTCTATGAATTATTTCATTGGCTACTGAGCATCTAAAGATAAATTTAAGGAAGCCTTAAGTAAGGTCTGACTATGAATACGGGCAAGAGAATAAGAACCTTCAACCTATCAGAAATCATGTATTATGGAATACACAGTTTCCATATATAGGAAAGTTTCCAGATAGATTGAAATTCCTATGTCCGTATTCATTCAGGCCTTATATTTAAATTTATCTTCAGATACTGTACGAATTATTTCATTGGCTGCTGAGCATCTAAAGATAAATTTAAGGAAGCCTTAAGTAAAGCCTGACTATAAATAGGGGCATTATTCTTTGTTCTCTGTTCTTTGTTCCTTTTATTGTGCGGAGAAGAGATATAACTATGATCCTTTTCTTGGAAAATCAAACGGAGAAAACCATTCGAGGAATAAGAAGTAAGAAGAGGAAGTGTGAGCAGTTCTGCAAAAAAGCAAAAACGTATCAATGATCAAATGAGCCTAATTAAATTCGGCGCCGAAGTGAGCTAAACTGAATAATTATCAGGTACATTAAACTTCGTTTGTTGATCTTTTCTGGAAATTAAATTTTGAAATCAGTAAAGTTTTTTTTATTCTCATGGATGAGTTGGAAGTTGCGAGAAATATTACAGTAATATGAAATAGGTTAAATAGGATTTAATTTAACTTGAGCTTAAATTAGATTAAATTCGTGCAATTTTGTTTGTAATTAGTGCTGCGTTCAGTAGAAAAAACAGCTTTATAAATTTTTAACGTAATTAGTTCTTGCCTTTAATTTCTTACGGATCTAAATGTACGAATTGATCATGATATTAAAGAATCTTATAATAATTGCAAAATTGCATTTTCTGCAGAATGCAGCCATAATATTACCTTTGTTTTCCTGCTTTCTTCGCAAAATGTTTACACTAATTTTAAAATTAACTTATACTAATACTACTATTTAACTAAAAAAAAAAGTGATCCATTGTATTATCATTGCATTATTTATCTTATCTATCTTCTTATCATATAAATCTTAGCTTAAAGTACATACCTATATTATTTATCTTATTTATCTGATGAATATGGTTGACCATATCATTGTGTTATTTATCTTATTTATCTTCTTATCATGTAAATCTTAGCTTAAAGTACATACCTATATTATTTTATTACAGATATTTTTTGTATATGAGAGAATAGACATAGCATAAAGCTCAAAAATGAAATATAGACGTTTGCTTGAGCAACATATAACATATTACAATAGCCAATTATATTGTTATCAATGCAAGATCATATTACAAAACCTGGAGGAAGGAAAGCATCATTACAAAGATGCTCACTCATCTGTCAGCAGTCAAATATCTGATTTCCTAAATAAAGTGAAATTGACAAAAAAAAATTGTATGAAGTTAGTACAACAGGGTATTATAATAAGAGGAATACAGCAAGATTATTTCTGTATATATTGCCAAAGTTCAATATCTTCTTTTCATAATTTTTCTCAACATTTAAAAGAAGAAAATCATTGTAAATATGTAAATTCTAAATCTATATTAAAACATTCTTCAAAGCAGCAAAAATCAAATGACAATATAAATAACAAACAAAGCAATGCTTGTGTTAATGTTGATAATTCATTGGAACATAAAAAAGAATCAAATGCAATAATACAGTCAATCAGTGAGAAGAATGTGTTAACGAAAGATACTTCAAACAGTTCTATGCAGACAGTAAATGAAACTATTGCAGATGTGCCTTATGCATTAATAGAGGAAGAAAAAACAAAAATGGAGGAAGAATATAAATATTTTTTAATGCAACGTACAATATATACAATACGTACATGCAATGGACGATGGTACTGTGATCTGTGCGAATTTACATTGCGAAGCTTGATAGCTATGACTTGTCACTTACAAGAAGTTCATCCAGATAATAACTTACAAATATCAGACACAAATTGCACAGAATTATTAAATCATGAAATGCAGGATGCAATGCAGGATGCAATGCAGGATGCAATACAGGATGCAATGCATGATTATTTTTGCATACCTTGCAAGTGTTCTTTCCCTTCTGTAAATCATTTTTATGAGCATTCAGTTGGAAAGAAACATAAATACATGACTCAATGTAACAAAAAACACGAAGATGGTAATGTTGTACTACAAAAACCTGCAACTAAACTAAATTTAAATAATAATACAATTAACAATCAAATTATATCTGTTGATGTACAAAATGAAAGTGATTTAATTAGAAATCTTCCAAGTAGTTTCAAAGCAGAAGAGAAAAGTACAATTTTATTAAAGTCTTACAATAAAGATAGTATTAATGAGGATCTGCAAAGGGAAAGCTTATGTTTAAAAGCACATATTCATATGAATTTTTGTTATTTGTGCGATATATTTATTCATGAAACTGCTATAAAAGATCATATAATACATAAAAGCCATAAGTTTGCTGTATCTTTATTTAAAGAAATTCAAATCTTTAATCAGACATTATGCATTATAAAATTAGAAGGGGAAAAGAAAACTCTTAGATCACTACAGTTAAATAATAAAACATTCGATGGAACTATATGGCCAGAACATGCAGAAACTGTAGCAAAGTATACTTGCGATCAATGCAATGAACTGGTCGAGAAAGATGATATAATAAATCATGAAATAACAATACACAAAAGTGGCATGATGTTTTCTATGAAATTTATCTATAATTGGTCACCCAAGAGTAGAAATCTTAATACTACTATTTATTATCCATTGTTTAAATGCTCGTTCTGTAATGAGATAATACATGGCATAATGTCATTACAAGCTCATTTTTTGAAATATGAACACAAAGAAAATATTAAATCATTAATTGACATTAAGAGACGAGAGTATGATAATTGTAAAAATATACAAATTTATTTGGAACCAATTGAATTTCTATGTCTAATCTCTTTTGAGAATAATGGCGGAACTATTCAAATTCAGGAGCAGCCTGTGATGTATATTAAAAACCATTATACAACTCTTCGTAAAAATACAGGAAAAATGCAGAAAACATTTATTTACGTTTGTTTTAATTGTAATTTTACAGCATACAAAATCAACAGCGTAATTAACCATTTATTTGACAAGTTAAGTCATTTGAAGCATTTTGAAAATATTCTTCTCACATATATGCCTATACAAAATGTATTTACATCGAGAGAGCTTATCGTAAATAAAAATGAATATGAAGTAAAATCTCCAATTTCTAAAAAAAATGTATCAATTGATAACGAATTATTGACAGAATGTAATATTGACAAAATACAAGGAAATACAGGACAATATGGCAATCGTAACTTAATAACTGATATGAATTCCAATAATACAAATAATAGAATGAATCAAAATGAAGAAAATAATTTTGGCTCTTTAATATCTCTCAATGTATTTACGGAAATTAATACATTAATAAACAAAGATTATGAATCAAATCGGTTGTCTACAAAGTTAAAGAAGAGCACTGTAGATCATTATAATAAAATGTATTGCAAAGATTTTCTCGATTTTGAAGAAATCATGTTTGTCTGTAACTATAAAAAACTGGAGAGAATTAAATCAAATTTGCAGTTTTTCTTTCCATTGTCTGACAAAATACTTTGTCTTATATGTGAAAATCTGCAATTACACAATGTACAGGCAATATACGAACATATAAATTCTGAAAAACACATTATAAAATTTAACATGTTACATGAGAATGAAGAACATTTGGAACTGTTAAAGCAGCTAGTGAAAATACAACCTGCATATACAAAATGTTTTGCTTGTGATATACATACATTTCAGAGTAGAAAAACTAACATAGATTTTAAGAATCATATAAATACGTCTTCGCACAAGAACAATTGTAACCAATTACGTAATCAGATTGAGTTAATATTGAAAGAATTCCAAAATTTATGGTATAGTATCCAATACTTTGCTTGCGTTGATTGCAACAAAAAATTCAGAATAAAAATAAAATTCATGGAACATCTTAATGACAAGCACAAGGAAGTCATAAGAAACGAGACTAATTCGAAGTTTGATTTTTGCTTAACATGTGCGACTTTATGGTACAAAACAAGTGATATCAAAGACATTCATATAAATTATGAACAACACTGTCAGTTACAAATGCATCAATATCTAAAGAAAAGTAATGATTTCGCAATTACACCGCTGCCGCAGACTTTGCAAAAATTGTTGAGAAATGTTAACGAAATTTCTGCTAATCTATTTCAATTGTCAAAGAAAGTATTAAATGATCCAAAAGTGACTCAACTTACGGATGCTTTAAAACACATCGTTGGAACGTGTCAGCTCCCTGTAGAAGTGTTCATGTTTGGTTCAAGAGTCACTGGTTTAGCATTAACAAACAGCGACATCGACATATATCTTAATTTCGGTAAATATATTTGTTTCTGATATTTACGAAATTAATTAAATATTTTTAAAAAATTCAAATGATCATAGATGTAACAAATTTTTTTTATTATCAGTATTATATTTAAAATGATAATGATTTATGAATGATTTATGTTTAAAATGATTTTTAAAATAAATTTTAACACTTTTTCAAAACAATTAATTTTGTGAATTGCTGTATATAAAATAAAAGCTTATAAGAAATTTATAAAAAATTTATAAAAAGAATTGATATAAAACTTAAAACATATAAAATATTTTTCTATTAGGTGACGAATGTATCGACCCTCAATCGATTAAAAGAAGAAGTAAGCAGATTCAAGATTGTTTACATACTGACCATGAAAATTGGGATATAGAATTAACTTTGGACAGGAGCAGGACTCCTATAATAAAAGTAAAGCACAGATCAACAGGATTGCAGTGCGATATCTCGTTTACGAAAGGTCTGTCAGTGGAAAATTCCAAGCTTATTAGGTATGACACATTATTGTATTTTTAAGAAGTATCACGAAATATGTTTTATAATAACTAATAAATCTAGAGCTTTCAATACTGCATATCCACCGTGTCAAAAATTGACACTGTTTTTGAAAAAGTGGCTCTCGCTGGCGGGTTTGAGTGGTCCTGATGGAATAACAAATTATGCTCTTGTCTGGCTAGTCATCTTTTACTTGCAAGTCAAATTAAAAATTCCGAGTATTGTTGACTTAATCAAAAGCCATAATCAGTCGAAAATCATCTCTGGTAAGTATTTTAGAGATTTCTAATTTAATATATTGTATTGTAGCATGTTATAATTTATGGAATCTGTAATGGGAAAAATCTTATCTCATAATAAATCATTTTACATATATTCGTATCTTAGGATTAATTATAATATAATATTCATATGGCATAATTATAAGATTGATATCTTGTTATATTCTAGGTTGGGAAACTGGAGTTAGTGATACTATTCTTATCAATGTATCACAACAACTAATACATGAATTGTTGTTAGGATTTTTCGAATATTACGGAGGTTTCGATTACATGCATCTCATTGTATGTCCATTATTAGGCGAGACGTGCCAAAAGAAAGCTTTTGCTGAAGTATCGATTTTACCTAATTCTATGGCACTTTACATTGCGCAATTGCGAGGTGACAACCCAGAATATTTTCGTATTGATTCACCTATGTGTGTGCAAGATCCATATGATCTTTCACATAATTTAACAAAGGCTGTGTCAATTTTAATGCTTAAACGTTTTAAACACTATTGCAATGAAAGTTTATTAGTATTACGTAGCGTTATTGCTAAATTGTAAAAAAAAAAATTATTTTATCAGATATTTTATCAGATAAAATTATCTTTTTTAAGACACATTTTTAAGAGTTTTGTATAAGTCAATTATTTTTATTTCGATTATAATGTTTATAGTGGAACATTGCTACTGAAACTAATAATCTTATGTTATAATAATATAATAATCTTATATCTTATAATAATCTTATGTATGTAATAAGGTTGTATGTGATACCTCATTTATAATGTTTACAATGCATTATAATTGTGATAACTAGTATTTTTAAAAGATCGCAAATATTGTTATAAAACATTTTTTAAGAAAGCGAATTTTTTAATTATTCATTTCGTAGTTTTAAAGTGAAGGGAATCAATTATGTTCGCATATGTATTTTATATTATTTTATTTTTATTTTTTATATGCAATATGCGTTTACGCACGTATTTCTCTTGCATTTAATATTAATTTAAGATTTGATTTTAATATTAATCCAGATTGTTAATTGTAACCTGAAAAGTTTTTATTGATATAATCTTTTTTTTACATTTTCTCTGCTGAAAATGAAAGGAAAATGTATCACGATTATTATATTTGATTTTACTTTATGACTTATAATTTTAATAGTTATATCATAATATAGGTATTACAAAAAAAAAACAAATAGTCTGCCAGTTTTCTATGGTTACATTATCGTTATATTATATAATGTAATTCTTAAAATAAATGGTACTTTCAGAAAACAATTACCTCATCAAAGTTCTATTTTTATAACATATTTTTATGTACAAAAGAAAATATATAAACTGCGCATGTTGTTATATTTGCAAACTATATATTGTATTTCATACTTTGTAATATAGGTGCGTTCAGTATACTATTAGTGTATTCTATCTTTACTATTATTTGTATTCTATCTTTATCATTCATCAGACATAAAACAAAAATAAAATGACATAGATAATTTATATATGTCATTAAAAAGTCTTCTACTGGACTTATAAACTATAACATTATAAAATGAGACAAAAAACATTGATTAATAAATACATAAAGAAATAATTCTAATTTTTTTTAATAGATGCTACTTTTTTATAACGAAATAAGATGTAAGAGGAAGAAGCGAAAGATTTCTAATGTATATCAAATAAAGTTTAGTGTAGTCACATACTTTGATTTATTCTCAATTCACTTTCTTCCTGTACAATGTCTTGCTTCCATATATATTCTTTTATATATTTATTCTTAGGTATGCAAGATTGTTTACATGTGAAAATGGCCAATATTCCCCAATCAAGGTTCTTGATAACATCTTTTAAGTCAAGAAAATTTAATAGTTGCGGCATTATCTGCAAATCATATTTTTAATTTAGATAGAAATATGAAATTTTGTTAAATAAAAAATTGTATTAATTTTAAATATGCAAAACTTTTATTTGAGTTTATATTTTATATAAAATTTAACATAATATTTTCGAACTTCAAGATTGAGCAGTATATTTCAAAACAGGATTACATGGAGTATTTATTTTTCAAATTTAATAAGTTCTTATTTAAGATAGCTTGTTTAAATACAATCTTGAGATCATAACCAACCACAGAGATGTTTTAACATCTTAAGACAAGTTTTAAGATAAGAACAGATTATGAATATTGATCAGTTTACAAAATTTACATTTTATATATACACATATATATATATATATAGAGAGAGAGAGAGAGAGAGAGAGAGAAATTATATTTTATAATAAACACCCAATCCTGATTCCATTTATATATATGAATGAACATACTTGAAATTCAAACTGTCTATTGCCATTGCATTCTGGACATTTTGGTACATCTGTTATCTGACTGTGTGATGAAATATATAAAACTTTTCCTCCTCTATCATATCTGTCAAATAAATATTTTAATTAGGCTGTGACTATAAATTTTTAATTTTTTAAAGTAACATACCTCAAAATCTGATCTGGATAATTATCTATTTTTAGACGAAATTCTGCAAATGTTTCATTCTTTTCATCGTTAGCCATTTGTAATAAATCATCATTAACATCTTCATTCTGAAATGTTCCAGCTTTGCCATCCTGTATTATTGAATTATATTTTTCAATTTCCTTCTCTTCGCTATTAGGTTCATTTTGGTCATTTTCTATTGTAGTGTTGTCGGTTTCCATCACGATTTCGTATTCAGAAAACAGAAAACTATTGTCATTTTTTGCTTCAGTACCACATACATCTTTATGTCCATTTTTCCAGTCATATACTTGATGAACACGGGAACAATAATTGATCACTTTACATTTGCCACAGTGATTAGGCGCTAAAATTCCACATATGCGACATGTTTTTGTCCACTGAGATACATCTGCAAAGATAACAAATCATAACTTGTACATTTTTATTAAAATCATAGTTTTATTAGTTACTACAGAAAAATAGCTTATTTAATAGCACAATACTATACCAATATCCGTTCTCCAGTCCTTCTGTTCCACAGGTGGTTCAGCTGGATAAAAATTATTTATTCTATTTAGCTGTGATCGGAAGACCTTTAGATTCCCATTCTGATTCGGTTTACAACAATCTGCGTTCTTACACACAAAGATATAGATAGTTCTGTGAAATGCATTGGAATCTTCTTCATACGGTGCATAGATTTGACAGAGAAACACACAGGGATCACCGCAGTACTCGCATTCCAAGTCGCCTTTGCCGGGAATATTTTTCAGATCGAGCCAAGCAGGCTTGCCGCCTGCTTTACTGGGAAAGAATCTGCTTTCGAGTTGCCAGTTCTCGCATTTCTCTACAAATCCCAGATCAACTGCCATACCTAAAATCATCAGAAAAAAAACCACCAAAATTGTATATTAATAAATCACAAATATGTCATCGATTCAGAAATAAATAATGGAAGTGAAAGAAGAAACGAGCATTCACCCTCGAAACTTCGAAACGTCAAATTGAATCCACGTGGTTGTCCATTGATGGAAGAAATTGATAAGGAACTAAATAAAAGTGCCTTCCATTTGGCATTCATAACAATTAAATAAACACTCGCTGTTATTGGTGTATTCTTCTAGATCATCCAATTAGATCTTTAAATCTAGATCTAGAAGAATCCATTAATAGTAGCGAGCGCTTACTCAACTGTTGAATCCGCTGAACGCAGTCATGTAATTTATCTATCTTCTCATTGGCTGCTAATGGAAATATACACCGATTTTTATAGCGTTGCTGTTGTGATCTCTTAGAGTCTCTCTAGTAAGAGTTAAATCATAAGGGACACTGATTTCTGATTGATCAGTCCCTGATTGATCAGATTTCAAGTCCCTTTAAATACCGCCATTTTGCAAATACTTTCGATGTAGTGAATCTGTGAATTCTGGTGTGAGCAACTGTTTCATATAAAAGGCGCGAATGCGAAATCGGACTGTCAATCATGGTTATAGGATTGTGTTGCTTCCGATCAGTACCCGACACCCAGCAATAGCATTCTTCCGATCTTATCTCTGAACTCTAAAGCTGGTTCTACATTAAGTCGATTCTACATTAGTTGCAAACCGATCGCAAGTTTGTTGCGATAGCCAATCTAAAGCTTGCATTTTGAAATCAACATTTCATATTGACTGTCACAACAAACTTGCGATTGGCTTGCAATTAATGTAGAATCGGCTTAATGAACTTTCTACAATAAGTCATTATCTAAGCTTTTAATCTTAAGCCTTATAAGAAATTGATCAACCATAGTCAATTATTCTTCTTATATTCAACTGTGATTGGTCAATTTCTTACGGCTTAAGATTTAAAAGCTAGATTAGATAATTACTTATTGTATTGTAGAAAGCATATATAAGTAGAAAGGACAGACTTTTGCATAACGCATAGCACATAAGACATAAAAAAATCAAATCAGAGTCCTTTTATAAGTGGAAAGGAAGGAAATAAAGGATTTTGATTGATCATTTTCTTATGCCTGTGTTATGCATTATGCAAGAGTCTGTGTTTCCCGCTTTACTAGAGGAACTCTAGATCTTCGGTACCGCCGCGCTATCTATGCCTTTCAGTACTACGTTGTATATGTTGTGTATGTTGATATCTGTCACTGCTTTTATAAGGTTAGCTTATCTATCCAACCGCGTAAGGCGGAAGTCAACGGAATCCCTGCGTTTTTCGAGAGCCGCGGCTAGGATGACGTCCTGTTTCGAGAATATGCAGATGCCGTCCTGCGTCTGGTTCGAGGGCGGTGAAAAGAGAAACGCGCTCATTTCGATGCTTGCAGGCACACTGGTAAATCCATAGGTTTCACATCCACATTTTTGCTATGATAAACAAACACATATACCTCTTATAAATACATTTCGATAAACAAGGATTTTTGATGTGCTCTCTTGCTTTTCTTTGGTCTTTTATTGAGTCTCGGAGTATTGTATGATATTGTAGATATTAATTTTGTATGCTTTCAACGATTTGTATTTTTCACATTAATTTTCCTCCTGTAGCTGAAAATCTTATCGAAACGCTGTTTCAGTTTTTCGTAGGATGGTGGTTTATAATAGATGCACACGCAAAATATCCTGATGAAATGTCAAATGCTTACCATGTTTGTGGAGTATTTGGTACTATATCACTCTTTATGTAAGTAATATTAATAATAGTATATGTAAACTTTGGCCAAAAATATTAAGTATCTTATTAATTATTATTTAAAGTTTTAGCTCAAAATTTAATTTATAACATTTATTGTAAATTGTCCTTAACAATACAGATAAAAAAGTTCCAAATAAATGAAAAATATAAGTCTCTAATATCTTTGGTCAAGGTATATTCCAAGATATATAAAATGTATCAATAGAATTCTTATTGTGTGTGTATGTGTGTGTGTGTATGTGTGTGTGTGTGTGTGTGTGTGTGTGTGTGTATGTGTGTGTGTATATATATAATGCTATTGATTTGAAAAATTTCATATTTTTCTAGGGTCAATTCAGTAACAAATGCACAGATAAGAGGAGAAGCTTATAATGGTGGTTGTTTAGGAGCAAGAGGTGCTCGAAGTTGGCTGTTTATTGGGTTTGTCATGGGATTTGCAGCAGTAATAGCAGCATGTTGGATCTTGTTTGCCAACTTCGTAGCAGCAGGTAGTTGTAACAGTATAATACATATGTAAATCTATTCTTATC